CGCACATGAAGTGACGTTGGGCCACCTCCTTCACCAACGCTCCAGCGCCTCGGGGCCTGCGCTCCCTGCTCCTGGCAACCCCCACCACGGAATCATCACTAGGAGTCCAGCCCGCTGGAGTGCGCGTCATCCCCATACCACCATTGCAATCCAGGAACCAAATGGGCGTCGAGCGCACGGGTAGCGAGGCCAGCACGTCGTCAACCCACCGCTTCATGAGCAGGACCGTTTTGTCGTAGTGCTGGACAGATGCCCCAGTCCGAGGCTGTGGAGGGTAGTACTGGACGGTGTACGTGAAGTCAGCGTGCTGCACCTTGGCGCGTACCGCCAGACATCGACCCCACAAGCTGTCGGGGCTCGGCAAGATGCGGACAATCTGCTTCTCCGTCACGTGCGGCGGCAGGATGATGGCGCAGCCCGCGTGGCTGTTCGTGTACAGTCCTGGTGAATACTCCGCCTCTATGACGAGACGGGACCCAAGGCGACGCTTCAAAGGTTCCTTGCAAAGCCTGCTGTGGGATCGCGTCCCGGCGAGAAGAAAACAATCAATAGAGACACATGCCATGATAAGCTCCTCCATTCTTGTACTTGTGGCATACACCCTGCGAAATGCTTTAGAAATTATGGGTTAAGAAATTCATAGTCTCAAAACTTGAAATTTAACCCAACATTTCTATTCAAACCTTAGGAATTACATTGAAACGTTAAGAATAATCGAGACTCTGGCCGAAAATGTAAGTTTTCTTAAGCATCGCCTAAGGTGTACATCGGGTTCCAGCCGAGGAAACGCATTCCCCGACTGCAGAAAAGGGCATCTGGGGGTGTCGCCCTCAACAGGAGGCAGGCGGGCAGCGACGGCCGCCAGCGTGGCCTGATCCTGCGACGGCGGCGGAGGAGGAGGAGGAGGAGGAGGAGGAGGAGGAGGGAGGAGGGAGGAGGGAGGAGGGAGGAGGGAGGAGGGAGGAGGGAGGAGGAAGAGGAGGAGGAGGAGGAGGAGGAGGAGGAGGAGGAGGAGGAGGAGGAGGAGTGGGGAGGAGGGGGAGGAAGAGGAGGAGGAGGAGGGAAGATGTATGGGGGGGGGGAGGAACCGTGGCCGCACGAGCGTCCCTGTGCCGAGGGCCCCATGCCCCGCGGAGGGGCCCCACACGCCAGCTGCCCCGGGGGGGGGGGGTCAGCCCGAGCGCGAGGGGCAGAGGGGGGCATCCCTCCACAGGGGCGCCCAGCTTCGCGAATCGCGCTGCGCGAAGCGCGAATCGCTTCGCGCCCTCGCGCCGCCCCCCCCATCCAAGGTACAAAAGAGAACGAGGAAGAATCGGAACCGAACCGCGAGGCGCGAAGCGCGCATCACTTCGCGCCCTCGAGGGCGCCCTTGCTCCCAGAGCCAGGGCTGCTCTTGAGTGGTCGTGCCAGCTGCAGCCCAGAGTTTCCGCACACACGCATGGCCTAATCTGAACTAGAGGCTCCCCCAGACCCGACTCTTCGATGTGTTGGATTGTCCCCCCCCCCCCCCCTCCCCTCGCCACCTATCTTCCTGGGCCGTTGCTCCGCTCCTTGGGGGACAGAACTGGGTGGATAGAAAGGACTTGCAGACATGGAGAAGGAGGAAGATCCATATTCCGGGTTTTGGAGGGAAGAACGGTTCCAACTGTCTGTTTTTGATTTTTCACTGTTCCCCGACGCCCCCCCCCGCCGGGAATGGAGGGCTAATCAGGGTATTCGCGTTGGGCTGGGGTGGTTTAGTGGGTGGTGAGAAACGGAGTGGGAGCGGAGGAGGATCGTATCCTCCCCAGTCTGTCCCCCCCCCCATCCTGCACCTCGAACCCTGTCCTGCTTACGCTCGTGAACTCCTCCTCCGCCTTCTTTTGATCGGGGTATTGTCCCCCCCTATTCTGGGCCGGAACCCAATCGAATGAGCAGTCTGGCGCCAATCGCGTCCTCAATGTGAACTGCGGGATACTCGGGCGCACCGCTTGCGTGCTGGATCGCCTCTACTTGGCCGAGCGTCGGCCGCGTCATCCGCAGGAGCTCTGCCACAACAAACCAGTAGCATCATCACAATCATGATCAGCATCAGTATGATCACCATCACCAAGGTCATCACCATCATCGTCATCATCAACATCGCCATTGACGTCGTCACTTTCACCACCAGCATCATCATAACCATTACCACCACACCCACAATCGTCATCATCATCGACTTAATCATCATCGTCCTCATCCTCATCCTCATCCTCATCATCCTCATCATCATCATCATCATCATCAACATCATCATCAGCAGCAGCAGCAGCAGCATCGTACATATCGCCATCGTCGCCATCGCCATCGTCATCATCAGCAGAAGCATCCCCCCCACCAGTTGGAGAGATGGGAACTCGAGAGGGCAGAACTCTTTCGAGAGACGGTCATACCAGACTTCCGAGGGCAACCCTAGCTATGCACATGATCTGGGACACGATCGACACAACACAAAAGCATGTTTGACTTTGCAGGGTCGACATCCTGATCGGGCCCGGCTGCAAGTAAATGTGGAACCAGGTTCTGTGAGCGAACAACAAAAATGTGGGACGGGGCGACTGAAGTAAAGCTGTCGCCCGCCTGGGTGCGCCCGCGATACGGGGCAAGGAAGATCGGCACACGCAGGGGCGACAGCTCGGGTTGGTCCTCTGGCCGTGTGGAGGGCCAGTGGGGGCCAGAGAGCTGACAATGCGGAGCGGGGGGTTGGCGATCCAGGCCGCTGGAAGGCCCCCTCCGGCGAGCCGTGGCCCTCCCAGGGCGCCTGGTTGCGCTCATGACAGAAGACCAAGGGACTCGATCGACGGAGGGCGGCTCGCAATTCGGGATGCGATTCGCCGTCGTACTCGTAGCGATAGCAGAAGCAGTAGTAGAAGCAGCAGTAGTAGAACTAATAGCTCCCCCCCATGTTCGCCCACACCGAATCGCTCCCCCCTGCTCCTCAGCAGAGGCTGTCGAAATCTGCCCCTGGACCCCTCCTCGGGCCCATCACCTGGCCGATCCCTCAACCCAGGTAAATTCAAGCCGGCACCGAAATCGCTGACGAAGCACTGAATTTCCTGTGCGTGTGTAATTTGGAGACCCTATTGAAGGGGCCCTGGGACACACAAAAAAATAGACACAAATAACAGGATTCCCCATATGTTCCCATGTTTTCTGGGTTTTTGTCTTCCCCCCAATTTCCCATCGTTTCCCATATGTTGTGGGGAATCGACGATTAATTGTGTCTGTGTTTTTTCCCCTCCGGACCTGTGCCATCCGATCGATCTCCCCGTCCTTCCCGAGAAAGGGCGGGGCCCTTTCAGAAGCCCTCGGGGGCGTGCGTGCAGTGGGGGCCCTCCGAGACGAACCCTCGGGAGGGGTCAGAGGCTCCTCCTCAGCATGCTCCACGGATTCCGTCTGCGCCCACTTCGTCGCCGACGTCGTGGTCCTCCTCAGGGCCGGCGGCACCGGCCGTCAGGCCTTCGCAATCGGCATCGCCCGTCTCAAAAAATAAAAAAATGAAGGGGAACTGGGACACACAAATAAATACACACAAATAAAAGGATTCCTCATATTTTCTCATATTTTCTGGGCTTCTGTCTTCCCCCCCACTTCCCATATTTTCCCATATTTTCTGGGAATCGACGAATAATTGTGTCTGTGTGTTTTTTCCCCTCCTGAAAAAAGACGTAAACATAAACCCTTGGAGGTCCGCGCGGATTTCTTGGATCTGCGCTGGACCCCCCTCCCTGGCGCGCGGAGCGCCAGGGGCGGCGCCAGAGGCGCCGCCGTGGGGGGGCCCAGCGCGGATCCAGGAGATTCGCGCGGAGCGCCAAGAGTTTATGTTTGTAGCGTTGTTCTTCTTCGACGGACTGCCACGAGGCACGCACAAGAAGGACCGAAGGGGCTTCTCTGGCTACGCCGGGCCCAGGCCACACAAGAGGCTCCACGACCCGGCTCTAAGGCACGGTCTGGCAGCCGAAGCCGCTCCTGAGCCCACAAGTGGTCCTGGATCTCGGCGTCTAGACTGTCGATCTCCTCGCTGGTGAGGCCATGGAACCGGCGGCCGGCGTCGTGGCATTTCCCCCAACCCCTCCACCTCCCGCTCCACCGCATCTTCACGCAATGCTGCGCCGAAACAGCGTGCAAGTAAGTTCCAGCTTGCGTGAAGTCCAGGTTTCCTTTCGGGCCTCGCCACGCCCCCTCCCTCCCCTCTCCATGCTAGTAAACTCTCCAAGCTCTGTAGAACAAATGCCTTAAAAAAAAAATAAGCATCGTACAACATTCCGACCAGAGCCCAGGAGAGCATCGTTTTCTGCGCCGTTGTTTCGAGCCGCGGGTCGCGGGTCGATGCGGGTCCCGCGGGCCCGAAACTGGGCCCGAAGAAAGGATCGCTTGAGGAGAAGGGCCCAATGAAAGGGGGAGCGGAAAGGCGACGACGACGAGGCCTCGGCGGGGCCGCCAAAGTTCACAGGGCGAGGGCGAGGCGAGGAACAGGCGACGCGCAAAAGCGGCCAGGGAAGGGCCAGGGCCTGACGTCGGGCGCAAGCGACCGCTGGAGAACGCCAAGGAGGGCAACTTCGGTGTCAGCTCATGGGAGCCTCCCGTGCCATTTTGCTGGATCCTGCGAATCGGCACTGACCGACGCCAATCGACACCAGTCGACGCTCTTCGACGCCAAATCGACGCCGAGCTGGCTCTTGCCCATCGACTGCCAGACTAGCGCACGCTAGTGCACTCCAAAGACGGAGTTACAAGGACAAGCACCTGGCTATTGCTCGGACGTCCATTCCCCGTGATCTTTTCGGTTTCGTGCGTGGCTTTTTCGCCAGATGATTCAGGGTGCTCCCGAATAATCCCCGCGGAGAAAGGGTGCACAGTGCCCGAACGACACCAAAAGGCACAGGGCTCCCACGACCTGCTGCCGACGGCGAGCGCGACCCGACGCCGTGACCCACTTGCCCCCCGCGCGCGCTCCGCCGCCCCGCGCGCCCCCCGACCGCCGCGGCCGCCCCCCAGCGCGCCCCGCGCCGCCCGTGGGCCCCCCAGCGCCGCGGCGCCGCCATCGCCGCCGCTGGGGGCCGGGGAGCGGGGCAGGGTCTGTCCCCGCAGCTGCTGCAGCGAGGCTCGGAGCTTCGGGCTCCTCCCCTCCCCCAGACGCCCGCGAGGCGCGGCGGCCGAGCACGGACAACGATCAGGCCTGCAGCCGGGCTCGACTGGGCAGGACACGCGAGAGGACACAAGACCCTTCCGAGGGCCACGCTGCCGCAGGAGTGTAAGGAGGCACGCGTCGCGAGGCACAGGGCCCGAGGGTACCCTTGATTTGGCAGGGTCGAGCTACTCCATCCGGGCCGACTGCACCAGAGGCCACGAGCGTTATCCGCGGCCCCTTCGCCGCGGCCCGCCGGCGCCGCCTCCCGGGGGAGTGCCAGACGCAGCGGATATGGAGACAAACCCTGCCCGCATGGGGAGGGGCGGCGGGTCCAAGAAAAAATCTCGCGGCGCGGGCGGGGCCGCAGCATCGAGGACTCCCTAGGAACGACTTGGGAGGTTTTCCCCGGAACGAGGTGGGGCGATCAACCCCGATGAAGGGGCCAGTGAGCTGGATCAGGCTGGCTTACTCGGGAGCGGCCAAGAGGGGGTGTCCAAGAGGGGGGGGGGGTGCAAATCATGACCGGCGGCATGTGCGCGGCCCAGGGACGTAATGAAATAAGAAGAGGCGCCATAAAATCTGGGCAAATATCATGGCCCCCGCCTTGATATCCCCCCCCCCCTAGTCATCACCCCCCTCCTTGCCGCCCCCGACTCACAGAAGCCTCCTGGAAGCACATGTCCGACTTGAGACTGCTCCCCGTCTCGGAGTTTGCTCTGGCAGGCAGCGGGGGAGGGGCAAAGCAGTGACGAGGCTGGGCGGGCAGGGGTGCCAGGGCAAAAGGACCCAGCGCGCGCGCGGGGCGCACGGGGGGGGGCGCCCGGCGCCAGGCAGCATCTGGCATTCGAGCAGGGGGTCGACTACGGAATCGACGTTCCCCAAATCCATGAGAGATGCGTCGAATCTTCGTAGATCTACGAGCATTATTCTGCATGCCTCGAAGGGAGATCAACTTCGAGGTGCATCCATTCTGTAGCCGATCCTCCTGCTCGAAGCATCGGGCGGGAACAAGCCCATCACGAGTGGCCGCCGAGGCTCGAACGACGGATGTGCTCGGGCCTTCGCATCTCGCTGCAAGTCCCTCCATTGGCGCTCGGAGTGCATAAGTCGCCTGGGCCACAGCACCGAGCACGCGGAGTAAGAGAGAGAGAGAGAGAGAGAGACACACGGCCCACCCCGTGCAGCAGATCGAGGGGGAGCACCACGACCCCCCTTCTGTGAAGGGGCCCTGGGACACACAAATAAATACACACAAATAAATAGCAGGATTCCCCATATTTTCCAAATATTTTCTAGGTTGTTGTCTTCCCCCCACTTCCCACATTTTTCTACATTTTCTGGGGAATCGACGATTCATTGTGTCTGTGTGTTGTTTTCCCCCCTGATTCTGGTGACGACGAAGGCAGGAGTACGAGCATGCCGCGACAGGCCTGGTCAGACCCCGGCCCCTCACGCCACGTTCTCGTTGCAAGGCGTGCGGCCCCAGAGCTCTCCGACCCCACCTCTCGCATGCGGGTCCCGCCGAGCGCCGGTTTGCTGCTGGCCCGGGGTCCGACAAAAGTGAACTTCGGAACCACGGACGTCTCGGCCGCGGCGAATGAGCGCCAGCGGCAGAAGAAATGCAGTGGATGCGGCGAGTCGGCCTTCCCCGACGGTGCCCTGAGAAACGCACAGCGGCGGAGCGTGCTTGGAGAGAATCCGCTGATGCGCGCCGTCACTGCGGGCCGCTCCACCTCCTCGTCCACTCATGTGCTATTATTCCACGCTTTCCTCTCCCCCCCTCTCTCTCCAAACTTCCTGCTCCTCCTCCTCCTCCTCCTCCTCCTCCTCCTCCTCCTCCTCCTCCTCCTCCTCTTCGCTGCTCCTTGCTCCTCCTCACCATGACTGCTCACGCGCCTCCTTCTCCTCCCGTGAGGGAGCTGCTTCACACATGAGACGGTTAAATCGTTGTCGCTCACTCGGAACAACGACGTGTCGAGCGCGCCAGAATAATGTGATTACACAAAGCATGGTTGCATAGCATGCGTGCTCACACTCCGCGTGCCTCATTCCTCCAACCCTTCAATTTCCGCCTCCCGATCCTGATCCCTCCCTCGTCCCCCCTCGTCCCCCGTCTCTACTGCGTCCCGGTCCCTCCTCCTTCTCCTCCTTCTCCTCCTCATCATTTTCCTCCTCCTCCCCTTTCTCCTCCTCCTCCTCCCCTTTCATCCTCCCGATCATTTCTCCAACTCCTCCCCACCCTCGATGCACCCCATCCCCACTCTCTTCCTCATACTCCTAATTATCATCTTCCTCTCCCCGTCTTATTGCGAAGGAACCCCCTCACTCCTTCCCTTTACTCATCATCAGGCTCCTCACCTTCAACCATATCCACACTTTCTCCTCCTCGTCCTCCTTCTGCTCTCCCACGCTCCCCCTTCAGCCCTCCTCTTCGCCCCCCATTCTCTCCCTCTCGACAGCGTGACGTGTTCGCAACAAGAGCTGGGAGGTCTCGATCCACTCCCCAGGACAGGCTTTTCCCATCCTGAATCCTGAATCGATGTTTGACGGAATCGGGCCCCGGCGAACGCCCGCAGAAACATAACATCCCGTGAGAAAACTCCCGTCTTGCTTGTTTCACGACCCGCGGGCGTGCCTGTCCCTCCTGGTCTAGTGGCCTGCACCAGCGACAAAAGCTAAACGTGGGCACCGAGAACACACACACGCTCGCACGCACGCACGCACGTACGCACGCACGCACGCGCGCGCGCACGCACGCGCGCGCACGCACGCACGCGCGCGCGCGCAGGCACTCACACGCACGCACGCACGCACGCACGCACGCACACACGCACGCACGCACGCACGCACGCGCGCACGCGCGCACGCACGCACGCACGCACGCACACACACACACACACACACACACACACGCGCGGAGGAGGGGAGGGCGGGGTGGCCCGCGGAGGCCCGCAGAGAACCGACCGGGGGCGCCCGAAAGGCGTACGCTCTCGCGCCGTGCCGGGCGCGGAGGGAGAGAGCGCGAGGGGCGCGCTCGCGCGCGCGCCGCCCCCCAGAAGGGGGAGAAGAAGAGAGCGTGGAGGCGTCGGAGCGGGGCCGCGGAGCGCGGGGCGCGAGCGAAGAGCGTCGTGTCCTCTCGAGGGCGCCCCGGCTCAGAGGACAGGGGGGGGCACGGGATCCGTGATGGGGGCCCCGGGACACGCAAAAAGAGATAGACACAAATCACAGGATCCCCTATGGTTTCCAATCTGTGTGCCGGGTTTTGTTGCCTTCCCCCCCCGATTCCCATGTGTTCCCATATCTTCCTGGGAATCGGCGATGAGTTGTGCCTGTGCTTTTTTGTCCCCTCCTGAGAATCCAGGAGTTATCCATCGCCACGGCCACGACGGGAGCACGACCCTGGGCGTCGTCCCCCAGATGTGGGCGCCCTCGACCCTCCCCATCTCTCCTGCACGCCCCATCCGCCGCGAGGCAACCGTCAGGGGGCCACATGCGAACCCCTACCCCCACCCCCCACGATTTTTGAGGGGGAGGGCGGGGGTAAGGTTCGCATGCGGCCCCCTGACCGTGCGAGGCGAGGATCTAGCGATGTGTATCCACCGCGTGGGGAACCCATCTCACACAAGAGCGTCCAGCTTGGCGCTCTCGCGCCGCCCCACAGGGGGAGAACAGGAGGATGACGAGGAATCGGTCGGTCGGAAGGAAGTAGGTAAAAACATGAGGTAGGAAGGCGGATCATGTAGACTGGGTTCAGGCCCTCCCAGAGAAAAACATGACACAGCCAAAGCAGATCGATGATTGAAGAAGGAAGGTGCTGGAAGTAGGGTGGGATCTGGGAGTCCAGAGATACCAACTTTCAACGCATGGGGAACCGAACTCAGCGATCATGGATACATGTGGGCCTCAAGGGAGTCGAATATCCCCATGTCCACCGCTTCCGAAAGAGTCCAAAGAAAGACCGGCTCCGAAGACGCGTATAAATACCAGCGCCGGAGAACAGGACCTGTGAGGAGGGGAAAAAATATGCGAGATACATCGCCGATAGATCCGCGGTAGTCCCAGCGGGGTGGGTCATCGGCGATCAATTGGCGATTGCAGGTAGATGCATCCCCCTCCTGAACCCTCCCCCCCAAGCCAAGAGATCCGATATCTTGTCATTGTCAACGCGGGGCCGCCCCCAAAACTCTCCACCTGCTCCCCGGGACCGCGTGCTCGTCCCGGGACGCTTTCTCAAGGTACTGGGGCGTGGCAGAGGCTCCAAAAGGCCAAACACTGTACACGACCTCAGTCTGTGCGTTGTCAAGACGTTGGATGAGAGGAAGAACAAACGCATGCCGCATACAGGGCAGTTTTAATACATAGGATGTTGAAGCATATAGGGTTTTTAATACACGATTAATGTATGAAAAAATGTATGCATGAACTCATCGTTGTGTTTAATACTAAACCCTGCATTTTTAATACATGATCCGCTCGCGGAGCATGTATTAAAAACGGCACTGTAACCAGAAACTTTCGATGGTCCGCGCGGATTTTTGTTGGCCCCCTCCTGCGCGCGCGGAGCGCGCGCCGGGGGAGGCGCGTCGGAGGCGCTGCCAGGGGGCTCCAGCATGGACCCAATGACTCCGAGCCTCGCCATTGCTCGGACGTTCATTCCCTGTGTTTTTTTTTGCTTTCGTGCGTGGTTGTTTGGCCAAGTGATCAAGGATGCTGCTCGATGGTCCTCGCCGAAGGAAGCATGCACACGTCCGAGCGATGCCAAGGCGCGCGCAGTTCACCACGTGCCTCTGAAGCTGTTTCCGAGAGGCGTCCGAGCGCGCTCCAAGGGGGCCCCGTGATGCCGAGGCGTGCCCAACGGGCAGTCGCGTGCGCATCCTCGTGGAGGGCCTGCCGAGCCGAGGCTGGTCGTGGAGGGCCGAAGGCGCGGTGGCGGAGCGTGCGAGGAGAGGAGGCCGTCGGAGGGCGGAGCGAGGAGGAAGACGAGGGATGGGGGCAGTGGCACGAGGCTCGGGAGAGGCCAAGAGGGGGGTGTCCAAGAGGGGGGGGGTGCTCATCATGGCCGGCGGCATGTGCGCGGCCCAGGGGGGGGAGGCCAGGGACGTGATGAAAACAAGAAGAGGCGCCATGAAATCTGGGGAAATACCATGGCCCCCGCCATGATATCCACCCCCCCCTCGTCATCACCCCCCTCTTTGCCGCCCCCGAGAGGCAAGAGGCACGCTTCGATGGGTGTGTGTAAACCTGCCCCTGAGAATATTTGCTGTTCTTGCGCAGGCCTCAGGGCACGGCCGCCGCGCGCGCCGACCGAGCACAGAGCAGGCACCCGCCAAGGGACAGGCAGTCC